GAAAACCGGATGTTTGTCTGAGAGTGTCAAAGTCTGATGTGGGTAGCAAACAGTTGCCTTTGAATGCCACTAATACCAAAATAGAAATAGTTCCCTCTTCACAGAGATATTTAGCAAACTGAAAAGAGGAGCAGCTGAAGGGCAACTGAAATTCTCCGACAACAGGCTGGAGGCAAAGCGCTGGAGACCGCATCAGCATGATGAGCACCCAGTAACAAAGGCCCTGTATTTTCCACTTGCTGTTCCACTTGGTTATTTCCTGCTCCATTCCTGTCATTCTGTTCCTCCCCATTACAGCCGGGCTCACGGCAGTGGAGTGCTCTCATGCAGCAGACACAGAGCAGTGATGACTCAAGCAGTGACTTAAGCAACACAACCCCGCACTCATCCACTCCCTGCAACACCACGTATTCGCAGTCAAAAAGCCAACAGCATGTTTTATTTAAACATCCACTAATGAAAAAGTAGTAATAAAAGCCATCACATTGTTTTCTCTGATTTTTGTCTATACAGTAAATGAGTAATGCTTCTTCCTCTTCTTCTCCATCTGCATCTTTGTTTCTAAACCAATCCTAAAGCTCTAAAATCCTTCCAGATTATTCAAAGGCAAAGCATCAAAGTGGAATAGAGACAGTTACATTTAGTATGTGTGCACGGGTTCACAGGACACCCTTTTATTTCAATGTGCTGTCCCTGGTGCTGAACACATCAAATAGCTTTCTGTGTTGATAACTGTGTAAATCTGGTTGTGGCAATTGATTTCTGAGACTATTCTGGTCGTCTTTGATATGCTGCATGGCCACCTTCCCACTGGGAAACCTTGCCCTTGATCCAAAATGGCGGCTTTCAAGGTGGCGGCCGGGTTATGGAGAAAAGATCGGCCCCCTCACCCATTACTTGCAGTAATTCTCTTCTCTTCTCTCCTTCGTTGGTGGAATAAAAACAGTGTCCTGTGACTTTTAATGACTAATAAATATATATCAACATATTATATATATCATAATAAAATGTGACTTTGCAGCTGGGTGTGCTCTCAGAGAACAACGTTTCCATTGGAAAAAAAAAAGCAAATCTGTAAGGTCGCTTTGAACAGACTCCGAAAAGGAAATGTGAATCAGAAGTGCTCAGTTGGTTTAAAGCACATAAATTACTCTGGAGAATGTCTCCAGAGGGTGGTAGTCCTGGTTACGGTGCGAATTGTTGTAATCAATTTAAAGTAGAAGCGGTCCCCAGTGAAAATTAGAACTCTTTCCTCAGAGAGAAACAAAGTAAGGACTGCAGTGGACATCCACAAGAGGGAAAAGGAGGAAGATGATCTTAAAAAGTTATTTTGTTCTATGCAAACAATTATGTCATATTGGCCAGATGAAATACCTAAATAAAAACTTCCCCCTACTAAAACTGAGTTTAGTAGAGAGAAGATGAAAAACACTATTTGAATGAAATATATTGCCATCAAAATGATGGAGATGATATTTTTTCATTTGCAGCTTGTTCATCTATTTCCGTTTAGTCAGCTTTTTTTAGTCATGAGGTGTAATGTGATGATCATTCCAGGATTAACATAATAATAATAACAATAATAATCTAAATCAAACACATCCGCCCGTGTCCGACACGACTCACCTCCGCAAACCACAAACTGAGGAATTCAAATGAAAAAGGACTCACCTCCATGAACATAATCGTGTAGTGTGCAGTCTGAAGGGCCCACCAAATGGATCAGGCTGGACTGGCTGAAGCCAACCGTGTGGCGTTCTGCAAAGCCGGCAAACAACCAGTGGACTCAACAAATGGCATGTGGAAAGATGGATTCAGTTGACAGAAAACACACTTAAGCACGCGCTGCGTCTATAGAGACAAACCCAGACACCAGCCAAAAGCATGCTGTAAGCATCGCAGCGAGCTGCTGCCTGCTGAGGCGGCCCACATACCTGTTGGTGCGTCCTCTGTGAAGCCAACACAATGACATTAGAAAATGGGGTTACATCCTGTGCTTACACACGGTTACATCCCAACGATAATTAATGGATTCACGTTTCACAAAGCAAACGGCTGACGTCGCAAACTGGTGCATCAATTCTTTAATTATGCAGCACAAATCGTTTCACCGTAAGAAGTGATGAAAACTGCAAAGTCATTAATATGGGGCACTAATTAGAAACAGGAACAGGCATGGAGACACAAACAGGAGGCTCATTCTGTGCCACGTTCCTGCACCCACCCGTCAAAGTCCCATGCTGCCATATTCCAGGTAGTTCAGGCAAAAACAGGACGAGGCCTACGGCAGCTCAGAGCAGACACTCGGGTGGGCGTGCCGGCCTCTCAGATCAGGTTACCTGCATTTGGTGGAGGAGGCATCACCTCCTCGATCCTGGCCTTGGTCTCCTGTCGCTCGGTTTTCTGGGCTTCGTAGCGCTTCCTGCCTTCCTCCTCTTGCTCTGCACTAACGTACTGAGAAGAGAGTGCATAGCTTAACAACACTGAACTCGACAGGTCAGAGACCTTTCTCTGCTGAGAAAAATGGTCTGATTTCATATGTGAGGAACAGAAGTGTGTGAGCCTTTGCTGCCAGTATCCATGTGCAGAAATAACCGGGACTACGTGTTTTCGGTGGCTGCTGAACTGTAGCAGCACATCAGTTTGATTAATCCCTGGACCGAGCAGCTTTGACTCTGGGATGCTGGTGAGTTTCCCCACACGAGAGACTGGCAACAGAGATCGTATCTGACCACTTTTAGCTTCTTTTTCAAGCCAGCCAGGGAAATATAGAACAGATTTTAATATCCTTCTCCGCACACACACAATGGACTTAAGGAATCTTATAACATTATCTCAGCAGAGAATCTCATTCTAAACTTTAAGGCTTATGGATCCTAAAGTCTCCAAAACTAGAATATGAGGCTGAACAATCTTTTTACTGGCTCCTCTCCAGGAAGCAGCCTCCAGGTTTGGGTTTGGAGACTCACAAGTACTCGCTCTGTGGCTGTCACTCAACCCAGCTCATTCTTAATTCAGTCATCCTTATTCTGGCCCAATCAGGCTGATCCTTGATCCTTAAAACTCTCTTCTATTCTGTCATTCACCCAAGGAGCTTCATCAGAGACATCTGCCCCCTCCTAATGTATCTCCGCTCATCCACCTGTCTTATCCTATCCCCTACTTTCATATGTGCCACTTCTTTAAACCCCCTTTTATGCAAATTCATCTCCTGTGCATTAACACAATTTTGTATCCTTTCAATTAATGTCTCCCCTGTTCCGGTCTGCAGGTACCAGGGCTGCATTTTCCCGGTGTGACCGGGCCGATCTGCCCTGTGTTTATTGTTTGCTGCTGTTCCCTCTCTGCTGTCTTTTCCCCCCCTGCTGTCCCCTCGCCCTCAACGGCCGAGGCAGATGGTTGCCCTTTTCTCCTCAGTGTCGCGCAGTAATCCAGCCTAATTAGCTTCGGCAGCTCTTTCTGCTGTCATCCTTAGTTTCCACCCTCGTGTGCTTACACCAGCACATGTAGCGAAGTTTCCCGATTCCCGATTGAAACAATCCCCCTGGATTTCAAGGGCACCGATCAGAAAGAAACCGGCTCCAACTGCACCATCGAGAAAACTTTCTTTTTCAAGAACAACCAGGTCGTCTTTGATCATTTTCTTCCTAAAATAATCAAAAATGCATGATGGCTGTAAGCCCTTTCCTTTCTTATTTTCTTTCGGGGCTTGCATGGTGTTTTAATAATATAAATCTGAATCATTGGCGGCACAACAAATAAACAAAATAAGTGGAGAGTGATGAAGAGCAAACTTCTGTCCTTTACAGGCCTTGGTTGCAATGTACCTTGATGGGAGGCACCTCCATGATCTTTTCGACGTTCTGCAGAGAGCAGGGGACGTACCACAGTGCTGCCTTGTTGGCCAGTTTTTTGGAACCTGCAGTCATACAGAAGAACAGGTTAAATCTTGCCCCAAAACTTTGCCCAGGTTCTTCCATGTTTTTCTGAAGCCCGATAAACAGACCGGAGCTTTGTGCTCCAACAGGGACAATATGGCCACTTTCAGAGAAAGCAACAATGGCTTTAACGCCCTTTAGAGGCTGCCGTCAAAACAGCCACTTTTATTAAAACCTCAATACAAGCCAATCCAGTTTTGAACTGCTGCTTTGTTTCTGCCTGAAGATTAGCCCTTTTGCTGCAAACAAAGGAGCAGAAACACAAATGAGGACTTTGTTTAATGACAATTCTTCTTGTCTATTCAGGGCACAAACTCACAGTCACAAAACATGGCATACATGAGTGCATGGGTTTTGCATAATCCATAAATCCTTAAATTTCTGCATTTCTATGTTGTGATTGCAAAACGGATTAAATGCCGCGGCGACTCGCTCGTCAAATTCTCTGTGCAAATATTTATGTGTGTGTGTGTGTGTGTGTGTGTGTGTGCACTGAGGCACATGAAAGGCTCTTGTGATCGGAGGCTGCGGCTCTGCAGAAAGTTAACATCAGAAGGCAAAAACTCATGGAAATCACATCTCATAGCAATCAGGCGGCAAGGTTGTCATAGTGATATCTGCTCTACTCTGCCCACACTTTTTCACTTAATTTGCTAAGGAGCTATTTTGAGGTGGTGGTGTTATGGCACACAGGGGAGGTGCACATGGGCAGCAGGTTGAGAGGAAAAGATGTCTTGAAGGGTCTGAGGCTTTTGCTTGAAGCTCAGTGGATTTATCGGGCCGTTAGCATCCATGGGGCCGAATATCTGCTTTTTTTTTTTTTTCTTCCTGAAAACTTTCGAGCCATTGTTGACAAGCCTGAGCACGTTTGGTGCCCGTGCCCGTCTTAATTAAAACGAGGTCTTGTGCGGCTGATGTGTGAGGCAGCTGGAGACGGAGCGCGACGGCGAGGAAAGTTAAGTAACGGGAGTGGGTGCAGGGGCTTCCAGCTCGCTACTCCCGGAGAATAACATTTGCATTTTACACTCAAGTTAAAACTGCGCCGACTGCTGGGCCTGGTTACCATGCCGACCACGTTTCCCTCCTCCTCCTCTCACTGGCTTCCACCCTTGCCAGCAACTCGGAAGTTAGCCACAGTAGGAAGGGAGGTATATTTACATATTCTTGGCTCGACTCAAGACTCAGGGACTGTGGTTTATTATTAGCTCCTGACAGACCTTTTAAGTGAGTTGGGTTTAGGACGGTGAGAAACGGGAGAAAGAAAGGGGGAAGCACTGGAATGGACCAGAGAGCAAAGGACCACTCCCCGCCAAAGCGTTGACCTTTTCTGACCACAGAGCAGGCAGGGAATAGCCTTTGAATTTCAAATCCCTCTCCAGCCACTGAGGACAATGTCAGACTTCTTTACTGTCTGTCCACTGAAAACAGAGCTCTTTCTACCTGGTTGTGAGTGCAAGTTATCAAGGGAAAGTAAATCTGTAGCAAATCTTAAAAACACGAGAGAAAAAAAAGTTACCTTCTAAAAAAAGACCTATTGTTGACGTTATAACTCTCATGCAGAAATATTCACTGTGAAAGGCTGCCTTTTTGTAGGTAAGAAAGTGAGATGCAAAAGATGGAAGGGGAGACAGCTGGCTTACTTAGTTAGGATTAATTCATCACTGGAGGGGAAGATTTTGGCAGCATTCACCGTGAAGGTATGTTCAACAGACGTCCACATTCTACAGAGCAGCACTCAGCAAACTGAGGGATAATTCAGGGACTCGCATGGCCTCTCGGAAAAGGGAGCCTTAAGAACCCAAACCAGCGCTGCGGCAGCCATAGCAACACAAAAGTAGCCTTTTTTCATTCATTAATTGATTCTAAACTGATGCTGTCCTAGTGTGATACAGCAGTCCAAATGAGAGGCATTATGGGGCAGCCAGGACCTGTGTGGTTTTACATCAGTCATCTGAAAATACACAAACAAAGTTAGAACCACACGGACGAAAGCACAACAGCATCCTGCTGCAGGAAAAGCTGAACTGAAACGTTTATTGTTTTTAAGCACGAAGGAAGGCAAAGTGTCCAAACTCTGTGTAGCGACTAATTAGGGAGTTTTGGGGAATTTCTTCTCCTTTCATCTAAGCTAAAGGTGTCGATCGTGCCGTCTCAAACCTGTCCTAAACACAGATATTTCTATCTGATGACTCGCCATACATGACTCCCTAAAGATTTGATCCTTAATCTTACTTTTCCATGTCCCTTTTCCCCCCTCGAGCAGCTTCACTTGATTTGTTGCCGCCTTTCTTTTGTTTACACCATTGTTCTCCTTTTTGGTCTCTCACTTACCCCCTTTAATTCTACTTCAGAGAGGGGGCGGGTGTTGTCTTTTCCCCATCCTGGCCAGCATTTTCCAGACTCTGAGACACTGCAGAGAGGACCGTTCTTGGTGCTCGCTCCCCGTGATCAAAACCGCAGAGTTTCCATTGCACCCAGCCAAGACTTCATTTGACTTTGTTCTACACAACAGCACCACTGTGAGATGTTGTAGCCTGATAGCAGGCGATTCGATCACACCGGCTGGGGTGCCTTCAGCCCGGGTTCAACAGAACCCTGTATTTATAAGCTCTTCAAGGGCTTCTAAGTCACTTTGAATCTTTTTTTTTTGGGTGCCTGTTGTCTAAAAAGACATTCTGACTGGCTGCGTGAAGAAAAGGCTTTTCACAATTGACAGACTCCAGAACAATTCTCTGTAAACAGTCCTCTGTTGAACACAACCAACCTTTACAACCAACCTTTACAGTTCTTGTTCCAAACCTAACTCACGCCCCTGGGGATGTTCCAAAGCACCGTCAGCTATTGGCTTTCATATCAAATGTCTTTTTGTTTTCTTTTGCTTCTTAGTTTTTCCTCTTTTGCTTTGTATTTTGGGTCAAGAATTGCCCATTTAAAACAGAAAGGAGCCAATAAAAATCACAGATCTATGAATGTTAAAACTCTACTAGCAGCAATTAGTGTGTGCACAGCTTAGAAACAAACAAAAGAATGACTCATTTAGTTCACGTCTGTGAGCAAATGAGGTTAATAGGAGCCCAAAATAATGTTTTGAACCGTCTGCGTATTCATGGAGCATCCTTTCAGCGTGTGCAGTGCCATGACCTACCAGGATCATGACAGGAACTGTCATGCTTAGAGTATTTTAAGCCTCAACCCACATAGCATGGCTCTCAGCTATGTCTGTGACAGTTGTGTGTGTCAGGATGGTACGATCTGTGTATGCTAATGCCACTGTGCACCTGAACGTACATGTAATCCACACAGCTCTACTTCAGAGGGAGATCTGCGCACATGTCTGTTTTTTTTCATAAAACAAAAGTATATTCTATATGAATAACCGGTGTGTTTTTTTTCAGCTGCGCGTTGTGCAGATCTGTGACAGCATTCCAGATATGCAATAGGTAGCTCAAGATCCTTTAATGGATGTATGCGCACATAAAAATCTCAATTCACTGTGCGAGTGTGGGTCTGACTGCAAATGCGCATGTGCATGTTAGTACGCATGTGCAAAGGCCCAGCGGGGACAATCATCACGGCTCGTGCCCACAGTAGGCAGCCTTACCCTGAGGGTCTGTGACTGAGGCCTGCCTGATGAGATGCTGCCTGACTGACTGTGGAACCTGGGTGCTTTTCCCTCCTCCCCCAGCACGCACTGCCGCACACACACACACATTCCGACGCATGAAATAAACATAAACGCATGAATACAGAGAAGCAGGCGCAGGGAAACGCCGTACACGAGGCGCTTTTGCACTGGCAAAACGCTACAGAAGCACGCATGGCTGCACAAACCCACACTCCCCGCGCATGTGCACGGCCGTGCATGAAATACACAAATTCACTTCTCTGGAAAAAAAAAAAAAAAAAGTAGTCAGCGCTTCCATCCATCAATCTTTTGCCAGGATTGTGGAAAACTGGGCCAGTCTTGCCTCAGTCCAACGCTTCATTTGATGCGTGGATGTGTGACTTTTTCTCTTTAAGGTGTCAGCAGACCAGCCTGTGTGTATGTGTGTGTGTGTGCACGCTGCTCGCCCCGACAAGGCTGCATGCCCATGCGGGCGTGTGTGTGTTTGTGTGTGAGTGCATCGGTGTGTCAGGAAGTTGCATGCGCCGTGTCGGAGCATGTGTGCAGGTACATCCACTTGGCGTCCGCATCTGACTGGGCCACATTGTGTGAGGCCTGACACTAAGCCGACATGACAGAAGCAAATAATGTCTGCTCCCGTTATCTTCTCTTCCCCCTCGGCCCCGCAGGAACCTTTTAAAGGGCCAAACACTGATGAAAACACACATGAATATAAAAGAGGACGAATGCATCGTGCAGACATACGCTCGCAAAATGTAGATCTTTTCTTTCTTTTTTTCTTCTTTTGCATTCAGAGGACAGGCTGTAAACAAACACACAAACCACAACACGTGCGCACGCCGCTGGGGAACGGACAGATGAAGAGCCCGCAAAACGTAAACATTTACATAAACGGATGGTAACCACTAACATAAATCCAGGTCTGTACGTAAGGTATACACTAAAACATGACCCACTTCCTGCCCTCTGGATGTGGCCCGATTTACCGACAAGCCGCAAAAGCGTTTCCCACATCAGGGCAGGAACCGATCGGTCCATTCAACGCCATATTGGAAAAATAATCCTTATGTACTAAAGCTTCAGCCGAGCCTGTTTAGACTGATTGCCATGTACCTTTTCTGCCCACTGTTTCCAGAACTTGTGCCGTAATGAAGACGCGTCTTATTACAGATGCCGTTTTTGGCCCACACAGCCTCGAGAGGCCTCTGATGCAAAGTTTTTTTTTCCTCAGAGGTTCTCACCTTCGCGCCCTTTCTGTGCACGAGCTGGGGTTGCACTACATCTACATCACACCCACACTGCCCTGACACTGAACCAACACTTCACAACTGCTCACTGTTTTCTTGTTTATTACAGCAGGATTGTGCTTCTTTTTTTCTGTGAGGACAGAAAGTGCTGAAAAAAAAATTAAGAGCAAAGTCTAAATAATAGAAACTTCCAATGTGTGCAATGTGCGTGATGAATAATAAAAGAGACTCTTCTAAAAGGGCAAATCTGTGAAATACAAGCTTTGTGCCACACCATGAGTCTTGGGCTTTAGATATATTAAGATGTGTGCATGCAGTTTGTCACCTTGCTCAAAACTATCTATCCTTATCTAACATCTGTCTGCCTGCTCTATCGGTGGCTCAAACTCTTTTTTTGCTTGTGCAAGACATCCCGGGGTGTGTGACAATTTTTCCACTTTGCAGAGGATTCTGGGTCAGAAGGGTCAGAGAATCACGCTGACTTTCTTCTGTCTAAATGTGACCAGATGGACGGGGGTATCCTGGTAGTTTCGGACATATGCTAGGATACAGTAACCTATTTTTTTCTAGCATTTTTATTTTCACTCCATAAGCTTCTAGTTCCTCTGTTCTCAGGGGTCCTCGCTGACAAGGCCATTGATAGCTGTCCATACCGATGCCTGCATGTGTGCGCGCTGCTCTCCACCTGTCACCTCACATCTCTGCCCCCGCCTCAGTCAACCTGCTTCCAGCCGGCAACGAGCCAACCAACCAGTACAAGCCTGTTGCTAGGGCAACAGCCATCCAGAGGATACTTCTTTTGTTTCTCACACCTCCTTTTCCCTCATCCTTCTTTCCGTTTTTTCCACACGCGTACTCTTCCAGTCCTTTTCCATTCCCAGTGCTGTCTTTTTGACCTTCAACATCTCTTCTTGCTTCTCTCTGGCCTTTCTGTGTCTCCGTCTCACTCCAGCTCTGTCTTTCTTTTTTTCCGTTTTGCATTTTCTTTCTTATCAGCTCTAAATTTACAAACTGCAAAAAGCACAGGTCCCTCGAGCTGGGGATTATGTCTTTAAAATGCTAACTGAAAACATGCTGAAGTTTCAAAGCCACTTGGGTTACATGCGTGAAAAATCTCAAACTTCTTTAATAACCCACAGTTCAATTATACATACCGAAATCAAGCAAACTACAGAGCACCATTTGAAAGCGCTTTCATTTTTCATGTTTCTGTAAGTATAAGTACTTGTCATGTGCTGCCCTCTGTTGGCCAAAGAGGGGATTGTCAGAGTGTTTAAATATCAAAATGGTTCTTTTTTCTTTGTATTCCTATAATACCTCTTACAAATCACTAACACTAAGCCGCAAAATTTGCTTAATGGGAGCTCTTTATATCTTTAATTCTGTACCACCAAACTTGAACTGATCTGCGTAAATACTGAGAATGTTGGAGGATGTTAGTGAGGATGTTTAATGCGCCAGAAGGTGAACTCATTCGAACAGGGCGATTAAAAGGCAGCTCTCCTGAGAGGAGTTTGCAGGCAAGCGCTGTGCATTAAGGAGCTAGCGGCGTAGGGCTTTCATTTGATGCCCAAGTGATCCAAACATCTGTCACTGCTATTAGCATCATTTGTATGAGCAGCATCAGCGGGGTTCATGCCCAAAGGAAGCCGCGGCTTCTGACGTCTCTGCTGAGTAATCACAAGACCATGTGACTCACAGATGACACTGGTTTAAACCTGCATCAAATCTTTAAATTGATAATAATCCACTAAACCGTTAATCTGTTGTTAATCTGTTGTTAATCTGTTTGTTTTCTGTTTTTTAGTATAACAGTAAGCAGTGAATTGGCTCAATGACTCGTTACATATTGAGAAAAGAGATAAGAGCAGAAATCAGAGCCAACATTAGCACCAGGCAGAGCTAATAAAAATAGATATATCTGCTCTAAATTTCCATTTCCTGCGGTTGATTTTCTGCATAACATACGCAGTCTAAATACATTTATGTCAGATTAAGTTGTGGCTTTAAATTATTAAAATCATCAAAGAGGCAAAACACAATGTAAGGAACTGGATTTATAATAAGCTGATTTCATTAGCATTTGTGAGAAAACTTATATCAAACCAGACGTCTTGGGTGAAGTTAAATGAGTCAAAATGAGTCACCTGTGAGGATGTTTTCAGCCATGACTTTGACCTGAACCTCCAGGGAGTGCTTGGAGGCATAGGTGATATCAGCAGACACGTGAACGACCTCACCGATGAACACGGGGGACAAAAACTCTGTCTTCTCCACCCGAACCAGAGCTGCCAGACACCGGTCCTGTGGGAGAGGTCACAGGAAGATGAGGCTGGATAACCAGTCACTCGACTAACACAGCCACACCAAAAAGCAGCCAAAAAGGTCACATTTTTAAATGGAAGAGTAAAAAATACAAGTTTTTTACATATCAGACCCACCGTAGCCTACAGAGATAAGCGAGACAGAAAAGTACGGTAAAGGCCCAAATGTTTATGTTTGTTGTATGTCAACAAACTCATAACGCTGCTCCCAAATAGTCCCAAACAATCTTATTCCTGAAGTCTGGTTACTGCCAGTGTTTCCATTACATCATTATTTGGTCTAACTAAACTGTAAATGGTAATGTTTATTTAACAGCAAAGCCGACCAATGTCCACTCTGGCAGCATTACACTGCAATAAATTGGGAAAGCATTGAGCCACGACAAGCTTCGAATGAGCTTTTAAAAGTTAGTCGTTCTATCATCATCATGTCCAGTCCATTCCTGTGGCATAGCAGAAGCTCGTGAGGCCGTGGAGCTGAGGTGTGCGTTTTGATCTGAGACTCAGCTGCCCTGGTGCTGCATTCAATGTCTCTCCAAATTCCACACGCAGCATCCAGTGGGGTAGGCTAAAGGATTCTTATGAATACTTATGATTTCTTACTCTCTTATCGCAACAGTGATATTTAAAAAATGTGATAAGAACACTGAAGTCGATGATATGACAATCAGATGGAGATAAAAATCAAAAGCAGGCTAAAGTTCACCAGGTGAAAAGTCATAAGACGGTAAGAGAGTAAACCACTCTAAGGGTGTGGATCAGCAATTAAACAGCACCAGATCAAAACGTTTTCAGAGTGGCAGAACGGAGTCCATGAAGGGATTCTACATTTGACCACCCCCACTTATCTGAAAGGCTCTTACTCCGCTCTGCGTGTTGCAGTGTCGGGTCCCTACGATGCCTCCAGCTTCCTCGATCATCTTGAGGATGATGCCGCCGTGAACGTTCCCCATAATGTTGGCATCATCTGGCAGCATAATCCTGCAAAAAAAAGAGTAAGAAGTGCTTGAGAATGAGTGTACATCTGATCAGATTTTACATGAGTTAGCCTCTTTAAAACAGCCCAATCGTGGATGAAAAGAGTTCCAGCTGTACACTGCTACCAACATGAAACCTGATCAGCCATGTTAACGATCAACATTTTTTTAACTGCACCCAGATCCTTCTACGATGAAGCCATGCTGATTAAATCAACCAGGTATGCGATTCAGCATTGCTTTGCCGAAATATGCAAAGCATTTCCTGAAAAACACATAATCTGCATGGGAGCCATAAACCAGCGTACACACTCTTTATAATCCTACATAGAAGAAAACTCATCCCCTAAGTGCACCATGGCTGTGTAGAGGCTCTTTATTTTTGCATATTGTTGAACCTCTTCCCATCTTCCTTCTGAAAGACTCTCTAAGGTGCTCTTTTTCTACCCGGTTAAGTTACTTATCTGGTAAAAATGAACCAAATGAGGTGAGGATTGTTCCTCTCATTTTTCCCACCTCTGTCTTGGTTTCTATCGGACTCAGGACGGGATGGAATTGGTTGGCACAGCTGCCTCACAGCAGGGAGGTTCTGGGTTTGAATGTGGGCCTGAGCTGACATTCAATTTGCACTGAATTTGCACTCAATTTGAATACTCTCTTCGCGTTTTCCCGCTGTGCAAACAATGCATGTTAGGTTGAGCTTACTCATAAGATCTTTCAAATTAGAATCAGAATAAGAATTAGTCTCTAATTTGAAAGATCTAATGGGAGCAAAGGCCACACATGATGGTGTTCCTGTGTCATCATTACTGTTCTGTAATGAGGACACAGTTTTTGCTTCAAACAAGTCTCAATCTAATCTTCAACTGGGTTGCTCTGAGAGCTGATTAAAACTGGGGACCAGACAGTCAAGCATCCAACACAGAAAGGCGATACACAATTAGCAATTAACAACTGCTATGTGTGTGTATGACACAAGGATGTTGTAGAGTAAAGATGACTCGTCGCGTGTATCTACTTGTATGTCTCCTGAATTTGAGTTTTGGATCTTGAAAACAGCTAAACCTGTCACACTCAAGTTGTCAATGCAATTAAAGACATTTTAGGTGAAAATATTAGGATTTCAGTAGTGGTGTGTGACAAATAAAGATTCTAGCCAAGACAAAATAACAATTGTGTGTGTGTTAGCCAGCCCATTAGAGATAATGTACCTGCGGATTTCATTTTTCAAGGCCTGTTGAAATTCGGCTTGTTCCCCTCTCAAGACATCAGCGCCAAGTAGCTGATTTTGGCCAGGCGACCGGATTTTGACCGCCGCTTCCGCCTGATCCTCTTCGCCTGCCGCCTTGCGACTCTTTGGCCTAAAGCAGCGCATCTTTACACACTTCCCGACACTCAGTTTGGCTCGCTACTGTGTCTGTGTCTGTACTGTGTCTCAGGCCCTGAAATATGCTGTTGTGAGTGACGTAAGTGCAGCGTGAACTCCAATCCCACCCAACAAGTTTTGACTGGCCAAACTGGATCATCGCACAGTCACTGGGTCACAGATGTCTGACAACTCATCAAATATGTTATCACTAGACAGTGAATTGTGTGGCATGGCTCGTTGGTGGAGCAGGAAACGTATCAGAGAGACAAACAGCAGCATGCAAAGGTTCAAGAACTTGCAAAGCAGTGCACGTATCTTATATCTTAACATTAAATACATTTCATCACTAAAATTTTAGGTTTTCCAATGACAAAATAAAAAAGGGCTCCTGCCGTGGAAAATGATGAGTGTTTTACAAGTGCTGCTCTTCAGAGGTATTAGGTATAAAGGGGCAGAAGGGCACTGAGACCCTCAGTGTTCATCTCTATTTTACTATTTTTCCATTTATTTAAATATGGCTGCCCAACATGGCGGCTGGATCCAATATGGCGGCGCCCTACTGTTGACAGACGCGGTAATATTGTAGCCAAAAGTTCCTTAGATGTAGAGCAAACCATATCCCTTTTCGGCAACATAAACGTATCTAAAGAAATTCTGGTGGAATTAACGTATGTGAAGGATTCATTCGACGAAAACAACGTTTGGCAGCAAACATGGATCCGACCACCGAATCGACTCCTAACGGAGTGGGAGGAACCCCAAAAAGACACGAGCGACAAACCGCCGAAGCCGAGGTCAGTGTGTTGGTTTTTCATATACGTCATGTCAGTCTGTAAGCATTCAGAAATAAACATGCATTTCAGCGTAGAATTCGCCCAAAACTAAACTACACCCGAAACTATTACCGGTAGCTTAACGTAAACCCAACGCAACCTGTGCACAGCACCGCCCAATTTTACGACACTTGAACATGTATGAAGTTAACATTCTGAGGACATTCACACGCTGTACTTAAAATTTTTTTTTTTTTTTAAACTGCGTTAGTAGCACAATAAAAACGACAGACCCTGACAACAGCCTTACCAGTAATTAGTCACCTCCACCACGGGTCAGACAGAAATGACTGAATCCAACAAACTAGAAGGCACAAGATCAATCCAATTTCACACTTTGACTTACTTCCACTGGCTCTACATTTAAAACCCCATCAATAGCATGCTGTTCTTCTGTTACAGTGAGTGTGGCCCAACGGTAATGCTGACTGGAGCACCATGACTTGTTAATCTTTGGTTAGCCTGAGTAAAACTTTCAAACTTGGTCACTAAAAACAGTTTAAGTCAAGCATAGACAAGCAAGGATTAGAGTTTTTAAACTATCTGAAGACACTTAACTTCTCTACAACTTCATTGATTTAAATACAAATACATCTACTTTCTGGATGTTTGTTTCTAATTTTTTATTGTTTTTTTCTTTCTATTTTTTACCTGGGACTAGTTGAATAGAAGCGAAAAGTATGAAATAGTTTGAGGAAAGAACTTCTGGGAATCATCTCTCTAATCCGCCTGAGAGCACATCGCAAAGCTCGGAGGGTTGTGGGGAGGCATAGCGTGCAAGTGTAGTTATGTCTGAGCCAAGCCTCTTCCACACGTATGGCAGAGATTTTCCTTTACACAGCTGATAAAAGAAAAATAATGAACTCTTCATCAAATAAAGGGAGCAGAGTTCATCCTGGTGCGGCTGACGGGTCGCATGCTGAAACATTCTGAAGTCAAAATCAGATATTCGCTGTTGTTTTTCTTCTTTTTTTTTCGGAAATGGCAGAGGCTGTTGATCATTAATACCTGACTGGCTAGGCGCTGTTCTCACGGTTGCCCTGTGAGGTTCTTCTCTACAAAGGAATGCTGGATCTCTTGACTCTCTATTTGCGTCTCAGGCAAAAGGCCACAGGCGTTTAACCGAACGAGACGTCCCCATTTCAAGGTCATCATTTTAAACCAGCATCCCCTCGATGTGTGACACCGTCCAGCACACAGCTGCTCTCAGCTTTTTCTGTTAGATAAGCATCAAATCTGTCTGTGACAAAGTAGATGTTTCGACTACAGCATAGGGTCATCAGCTCTTCTCCCCTTTTGTTGGCTGGGGGTGCTGGGGAACTTCCAGTGGCCGTGCTGGTGTGTATGCGATTACACCTATTACACTGACTCATAGTTTAGTTTAAGACTGACTGTGTTTTAGTTATTAGCCTTTAACATTCATCAGTAGTGCCCTTTGTGAAAACCTTTGTTGATGAATATTAATAACTGTCCCTGGACCCTTAATATTTGCAAATCACGCTCATATTTGATCGAAAGCATTCATTACACAGCAGATAACTTTCTTTTGGTGGTAGCATTTTGTGGTTTTAATGGTGTGGTCAATTATTTTTGGGAAGACGTTGCAGGATTCCAGCAACAAAACATAAACTTGTGACACGGAGACTTGTGACGAGTTGAAGGAAAGCTTAAAAAATATGTCTGAAAGACTTAAAACACTGATATTGAAATCACCACAGAAGTATTTTACGGTCAAAATAGTTTTGTAAATGGCTTAAATTTGTCGGGTTCTTAGAATTAGTCTATCTGGTGCACAAAAATGAAGAGCAGGTGATGTTACAGACTGGCTTTGTTGCTGTGACATGTTCAGACTACTCACTTAGAGGAGGGGCTGCAGACACTGTGCATAAAAATGCAAACGGCTCAACTACTTCCTATTATTTGCAAACACACTGACCCAACCGGGTCTAAGTGCTATCTGGAGCAAAGGTAAAGGTGTGATGGCATCCAACAAATGCAAACAATTGTTACCGGTAGAGACACAAATGTAATGTAAGATAGGAATGTTCTACAAACTTTACAGCCTTCCTAAAACACTGTAAGCATCCCGAAACACCAGTTGGCATGATGCCACCACCTCACACAAGTTTTCTGGAACGGCTTAATAAAGTTGGTCAAATCCAGCCAGATAAAGAACCCTGTTCCGGAAGCAGGTACATGACTATACAAATCTACCATCATGGGTGGAGAAGACGCCCCGAGGTACGAGGGTTAAATCAGTTAGAATCTCAGATGAGACGTTCCCATTCAGAAATGCCACGCCTGTTCTGCAACAACATTCTTTGAAACCCGGGGCAACCTTCAACTGCGGGATGGAATGGACAGACTTCCAAACTCGTTGATGATCACTGATCATGTGACTAAGGCCAGGAGCAGCCAGACGATGGGCCCAGATGAAGATATAACTTCTCTTCAGATTTAACCCAAAAGTTGTTTTTTTCATTTAGCATCACGGTTTAGTAAAAAACATTTGGTGAAATTCTACCTGGAGCTTTTACTCTGAGTAAACCATCACAAGTGAACATTTAAAACCACATGTTGAATTTGGGGAAAGAGTTACATAGAAGTGGGGACTAAAATTGTCTCAAATATTTCTGGAATTGGCTGTAAATGCGGCACATTTTCAGTCTGAATCCATTCAGGGGCCAACCTGACATTAAGGTGTGTTTCAGGGCCGTGGGAAGACACCTGCCAGGTGGAACGTCTTCCCTTTCGGTCAGATAACACGTGGCTCCCCCTAAAGGTGAGCAGAGGTACTACCGGACTCGCATGACCCTGAGAAATAAAGGGTTTTATTTTTATGAGGCAGCGTGGTAGCAGTTATTGGAGATAAAAGCCACATGGCTGCTTCTGCCTCCTATTTCCGTGTCCCCCCCACCCCCACCCCACCCCTTCTCCTCCTCCTCTTCTTTTCGTCCTCGGATGATAAACTTTGGAAAATACAGACTGAGAGAGCACATTTGTGACCAAAAAGATGCCACACGAGTAACGGGAGTTTCATTATCTGCGTGTCATTCAGCTTTCTTTCTAAACGGACAGAGCCATTTCCGTATTGCGGTGGGAAATGTCGCCACGCTCTCCCTCGCGCGCTGGTGTCATCAATTACGACACATGCGGTCACCGCCGGTGGGAGTCGACAAGCTAGCCCTGCCCGGTCACCGGCGTTCCGTACCGGGATAAAAAACGACCGCTGCACGCCCACAGAGGCACATAGGCGAAGGGCAAAGGGCGAGGGGGGGTGAGGAGGAGGGGGGAGGAGGAGGAAGAGCGAGGACACGGCGTGACGCTGCGGATTATCCGCGCTATATCATCCTCTGAGCCGGTAGCTCCGCCGCCGTCTCATTCGTCCCTCCGCGGGCTAAAGGAACCGGCCGCGCACGTGCCAGCGACGAACCGAACGTGATACCTGCATAGCTGGAGGGAGGACGGGGCCGACATGGTTCTGCTGAGCCCCTCGGGGATTCACGGGTGGCACACCGGAGCGAGATTCCTGCGTGGATGCGGAGAGACGGGAAGTCCAGATTCCTCCAAACGCCGCTGCGGTCACCGGTTTTCAGAGATGACTCCTCCGTCGGAGAAGTCCCGAAACTGTGCGGAAATGACTCAAAAGCCGAACAGAAACGGCTGTCAAATGGTTTTAAAAGCATCCCTGCATCTTAACACATAGCGGGTTCCACGAGGGTCGGTTTACCTGGGGGCCTGGTGCTCTTCAGGGAGGCGAATGAGGACTGGAGCCAGCAGCAGGAAACGAAACCGTGTCGTTACCGGGTGTCGCCACACGGGGGCAGCAGAGGCCACGATATCGTCACCGGTCTTGGCGTAATACGTCTTACCGGCTGTTGATGGTGCTGTGTGACCTCAGCCTCCAGCCAAATGGAATAAAAGCGGCGTCTTTTTCATTTAAATGTCACCCAACAGGCCTTTGTCCATTGTTCTGTATGTGTCCAATTCATTATCTACACAAAATGTATGTAGTTCAACACACTGTGGACCCCCCCCCCCCTTTTTATGCATCTGTTGTTGACAAAACCATTATTTTTTCTTCTGCTTCCATTTAATAGAAGGCTGTTTCTCTGACAGTGTTTTCGTAATCATTGGACATATCAATCATTTTTAAACCTTTTGGCAGAAAACGTTTCTCTTGTTTATTCTGGCCATTATAATCGTGGCCTTCAGCAAAGCTGAATATAATGAAAGAGAAGTGAGAACAAAAAAGACAACACAAGCTGCTCAACGGCATGGCAGTTTTATTTCTGTACACAGTGTATACAACATTTGCTACAAATAGCAAAAACAACAACCCATCTCGGCAGAGATACTTTCTGAGACACTGGATGTCTACACGGTTCATCTGCACAGACTCAGGACGCTGAAGTCTTTGGTGCAAATCCATACATACGATGACCCCTTGGGTCTTACAGGGCTGTTTCAACGGCCCTTTATCATTCAGTCTCAAACTGAGACTAAATATTTAACGTATACATACATGCAGATTTAAAGAAATACGACTGTCTAAAATTGTCGACTTGTACCGGACAACAGACTTGCGCGCAAAAATAAGTATATAATACTCAACTAAATCGAACACGATTTAACGATGACGTAGATTTTCATCAACTGAAACGACGCGGTGCGTATTTACAGTTTTGGGGGGAACAGTACGCATCTACCAAGGCCTCCACATGGCAGCCCTGGCGGGCAGCAAGCCTTGGCTCGGGACCTCTGCCCCACTGCTGCGAGGCCGAGCCTCCAGTCTGGTGCCGAAGCTTGATTTCAGGGTTAGGAGTTTCTGCTGGATCTGAGGGAGGGCCCGGGAGCTCTGGGCGAAGCAGTTCAGGCAGGTTGGCGTGACAGAGGCGGTCGTGGACTTCTGGACGAAGTCGCTGACCCGCTGGCGTGCGTCATGGTCCAGGCTCGTTCTTGGAAGCACAGCGGAGACGCGCTGGAGACAAGCTTTGTAGCCTTCTCTGTAGGTGTCTGCTGGGTCTGAAAAGACAATATAGTAGTTAGTTTAATGCTAGAACGATGACTTCAGGGTTTTATGTGTTAAAGATTGAAAAAATAACCGAAGAGACTCAATTTTTACTCACTTTTAGTGTTGACAGGTGGAATGTCACTGAGAAATCTCACAGTCATTTCGAGGATGTCAGCTTTCTCCAATTTCGAGTAACGTGTTTTCTGCAGAGAAAATTAGAAAGAAAACGTTAAATTTCTGAGCCAAATCCCCTACTTGACAAGTAATCTACACAAAAGGTTTTGGCCTTTGTTGAAAATGCATAAAGAACTCACATCTCTCCCAGTGAGGGGAAGGATGAGGTTTTTCAAGTGGTTCAGGCTGTCGTTGATACGTGCGCGCCTTCTCTTTTCCATCAGTGGTTTCATTGTCTGAAAAGAAAATAGATCGTTTAGAATTCATTCAATATGGGAGAGAAATCGGTGAAAACATTTCCAACAAATGCAGCTAAATCCGGTCGCTTCGCTTACCTTTCTGAGCTCAATTGCCTCTTTTCTTTTGGCCACTGTGAGCCTCGGAGAAAAGGATGGGGGAGCTTGAAAAGTCATGTTTGGAGACATTTTCGTCGTCTTCTTTGTGTCACAGAAGTGCAGAAGTCCGGAATTTGCGAAGATGTGTCTCCAACGGCCAGAAGCAGCGGTTTATATCCAGGTCCGTGGCGTCGGTTTCCGTGCGTCACGGGTCCGCCCCCAAGCCAACTCAAAAAGATTTGTATTGGTCCCGTGCCCTATGCAAAACAACACGACAGCATCACATTTAGTGAGATAACCATCTGTCTGTAAATTTAATCTGTGCGTAGCTCTAATGCGTGTCTGTGCTATGATCCATACCCCAAACCAAACAAAAGCTGCGTCAAAAAGCTGGAGAAGATTCGTGCGTAAAGACGCACTGAGTGCCAATACCAGACATGAATGCTGCATCCTTTACTCACAACATATAACCACAATACCACTCATTATCTCTTGAGTAGTTGCTCATTTATGTTTTGTTTGTTTTTCCACGAAAATCACACTTATAGTGGTGCGTAATTACGCAGTGCTTCGACTCTCAGAAACATAATGTAGGTCTGATTGATTCTGTACTCTCACTATGAAATAGACGGTTTCTAACTCTTTAAATGTTTTGGATTGTTTTTCATAGTTTATATTCTGGTTAATTTCCTGGTGTGTGCAACGTGAATCAGTTTTCTTTGTACAACAGTGGCTGTTTGTTGGAGCAGGATGCAGTACACGCATAGGCGGCATAGAGGTCAGACTTGCGTGTATAGAAAGTCTCCCACACTAAAACACACTTACTCCAATCACACACCCAAGCCACGCTACTTTAAAATAACATCTGCTCTTACATTTTGACAACAATAGTTTTGCATATGACGTTTCATGCAGTGTCTGCCCTGGGGAAGGCTGTACCTGCAGGGGGCTGCTAACGCTTGGTGCAGACAGGGTGGGGGCTTAAACACGGACGCTGATTGGTAAGGTTGCATGCCTATTTATTACAATAGGCAATGTCTGATAGGAAATACTGTTTTGTATTGATTTTGAGTCTTGCCACTTAAAACGTGCAGTTATTACTCGACACAATTTATATGAGGTCTAAACTTCGTCCTAAAAAGTTTCTAAACACAGCATAAAAGCTCCCAGATTTGTCATTTTGAACGAAAACTGGGGCGAGGTGACAGCTTATCAAATGCCTCTGCACTCAGGGGAACCACGCGCGCTGCACGCGCCACGGAGACCAGATGGCTGACTGTTGAAAGATCACAACCCCACCCTCACCCAACCTCCATTCATGACTTGAACACTATCTCATCACCACCCCCCATCCCCCCCGAACCCCCACCATCCCCCCCGAACCCCCCACCATCCCCCCACCCTGGATGCACAAACCACAAGCATCGCCTCAGCATCCAGAGAATCCCGGCCTCACCGAGGACCTAACCTTCTCTCTCTCTCTCTCTCTCTCTCTCTCTCCCTTTTTGTTTTTCAATAAACTTTGCACGCACGACACATGGCGTGGGTGTCCCATCTGCATCCTTTAATGGATCCGTGTTGGGAGTTTCCAACTGAAAGGAACCAGTCGCATCCCCCATCGTTTTACTGCGAGCTGTAATTGTCTCCTGTAGCTTGACTCTTGGTTATTTTAGCGTCTAAGGTATCAGGAGATGTTGTTGATCAACTCTATATAACGACGAGTTGCAAAGCGCAGTAGTTTTTTGGGTGGAGGCACTTTTTTAAAACGTAAAATGCAAATATATTGTTAGAGACCCATTTTTTGTACGGGTTTATTATTATGATAATAAACCGTCAAACATGCATGGCTGGATATATTCGTTACCCGTTGCTATGCATGTTTAACCCTTACTACCCTTATTTTAATGTTAATTACAAAAGGAAAAAACGGGAGGTAACAGAGGGCAATATCGAGAATTTCAACGTGAATAGATTTTGCAGAGACGTTATGAAAAGGGCAGCCTCCTGCAGACAGATCTTTTATAAAAACGAAGCTCTGTCCTGAAATTGAGAGGCACACTTGCTGCACGCGCCCCTGGCCGCCCGCTGGGACACAGGGGTGGTGATGATGCTGAGGGTGGGTGAGGGTCAGCAGTTCTCCGTTTCCCTCGTACGGTTAGAGTCCCCCTTTTGTCTTTTCAAGCAAATTTGGCGTCGGCAACCCATCTGTGCCGAATGGATAAGAGGATGTCTTTGTCTGACTATGTACTAACACTTCATGGGAATTAGGAGTGGGATGGGGAGAAACAGTGACTTAGTTTTCTCGGATTTCAGCAACATACACGGTATAACTACCCATTTGAGGATATCATTTTTCACTATTAGTTTTTATAAATGTGTTTATTAGAATATATGATGATAAATCCTACGCTTCCAAGAAGGTCTCAAATATAACCTCAGATGAACAGTGATAATAATAGTACATTTTCTCACAAAGCTATGCATGGAAAGATCACAATTTGTAGACCTCTCATCTCTCAAGTTTGGTCAACTGAGTCTAAACAAAAATCCCAGGACTCCTGGAACAGAGTTCTTTGGACAGATGAGGATAACATGGAGATGTTGGGTCAGGCTGCCTCACCCAGCAGGAAGCCCACAGCAGGTTAGGTTTGGGGTTTCTGAGTCGCCTCATGCACTTGTCCTTGAATCAGATCATTCATAATATATGGAGCACAGGTACAAGATCTTGTCAGTATAGTTGTATGATCCCCAGCTATGAAGAGATTTCCATGAAAAAGGTGTGCTTACTCTGTTTTTGTATAGACATTCTAGTTAGAATCATGAGAAATTAGATGGGGAAAAACAATTATAATGACAATGATTTCAATGGTAGTTTGCCAGATTAGGAAAAAAATATTTGTGTTACACAGACAATAAGTGATGTGGAGTGTCTGGAAAGTCCAACAGTTGGATTTTCAGAGTCTGAGCAACACCCCGACAGTCGAGACAAAGAAACTAAACAAAGGCTTCCGCAACAACGGAGCTGAAAAGCAGATCTAGAGCCTATAGGTTTTTAACCCGAAATAAAGTTTTCTTTGCATATGATTTTATGGAGCACTACAAAAGACTTGAAGTTTTCATGGTTCATGGGTAAAAAGGTGTCTGAAATTACAAAATAAATTAATAAAATGTTTTATGTAGAAAGGTTATAATGACATTTAGATTTGCATCAATTATTTTTTGGAAAAATCCAAGAGTGTTATTTATTTATGAATTGTCAGTCAATATTATCAGTGTAAATCATAATTTATCATTTCCTGGACTTCAGAATAAAGTTAGGCACTCAGAACATCAGACAGCTGGTACAGTGGTTTTCTCCCTCTCTTTAAATGGTCTGTTCATTATCTGTTAACACTGCAGTGGTTGCTTTGTTTGATAGTAATTTCAAGGTATAAATAAAAAGATTTAAGCTATTTTCAAAGACCGTGCCTAAACTTGCCTGTACAGATAACTAAAAGCAGCACTTGTTGGGAGCTCACGCAGTGAAGTCAAACCTCCAACACACGGACTGTAATGAGAAGAAACATTCTCTTTAAAGTGTTACTGGACATAGAGACAGCGATTGGTCCCAAATAACAGGATTGTGGTTTTACTTTATTTAAACGCTGTCTTGAGAAGTTAATTTAATCCTCTCTTTCACTTGGACATTATCCAAAAGTGGGGCTCTCTGACAGGTGTTTTTCTAACCCATGCAGTCTCAGCCTTCTCTGGATTTTATCCTGTGTCCAAGTTTCAATCAAACTTTATTTATAACGCACTTTTCATTTGAGTGAAACTGTAACACAGAATGCTCAACATAGATTAAAAAGAGAAAAAATCAAGAAGAATTAAATTAATCTGACATATGCCACCCACTCCCCGGACCAGAGGAACAGCAGTGGTCCCATTTATAGCATTGCCTTAACCTTCACTGAGGCTCTTAGGGAAAGCTAAGACACTGGAGAGAAAAATAAAATGGTAAAACAGAATAGGTAGGGAACAATTTAATTAAACTAAAAGATGTACTAAGTGGGTATTACGTTTTTCTTTTAAAATAGGCAATTTTTTAAATATCAGCCAAAACAGATGTTAGGATTCCACATTCAAAAACAGAAGGGTTTTTCAATTGTTTGTCAACTCTTTCTTTGTTAATGGCATTTTGCCTACCTTCATTGTCCACTCAGTTCACATTCTTGGGGCATCATGGCAGCATAGTCTTTCACAACAGAGCTTTGCATTTGGCTCCTTGCTGCCTTCCCTACGGTCCACCGCCTTCCTGTGTTGAACCAATTACCTGAACTATGCTTATGTATTTCCATACCATCCCCACAGTTACTATGTTGCTCCTTCTGTCTGTTGTTCTTCCACCCCGTGCTGATGCTGGGAGGCTGGTAACTGCAGCAGGTCCCCATGCTTTAAAACATTAGCCTGTTAAGCTTCGGCTTAGCCTCAGAGGCAGGATGCTAACACCAAACACATGTTCGATCTCAGTGTTCCTGCAGCCGAAAGGTCCTGTCGTTTGTTTCAGAGGAGGAATCGTCCAACAAGGAAATGTTGAAAATAGGATTTCTCACCATCTTATGAAGAAAATGAGCTCCTTTTACCTTTTGCCATGTGTTGAATCAAAAGTCTGGATAAGACCAATTTGACCACAGTAGCATCACAATGGATTTGATACTTTTTTAAAGCGAAGCTACCAGTTTTTGGAGCTTTTTAGGAGAGGTGTAAGATTCAGGCTGCTAAACAGTCCTAAGTCATCTCTATCAACAAATGCTTTGTGCTGGTGAAAGAGCTTAACTTTAAGCAGACTGCCCCAGCAGACATCTACTCACTAAACATGAGTTTAACATGCTCTTATGCTAAATGTTTTTCATCATCTTAGTGAAACAGCCAAGACTTTTTCTGAAAGACGGGATGGCAATAGCTGGTTTTGGAGCTTCTGTGAGTCTAAAACCATGACATACCTTTCAGTGATTCTTTGGATTTTCCAGATTGTGCACGGATCTATTTATATGCCATCTGGACCCTAACATCATGTACTGAAGATGATACAAACATTCAAAGTCTGTATGTTATATAGAGATGCATAATGTTCCTCCCGCTATTTTTGTTTTTGTACTGATGATTTTTCCAGTCTTTTGTTGCCCTATCACAACTATTTTGAGACATGTCACTAACATGTATTATTTGCTCTGTTTTATCTCATGTCCTGACCAACATTGGTCAATGATATCCAAAAAGTTGTGCTTTCAGTGTTCCAAATTTGTGGTATTAGGATTAAAGAATATAACAAGAAAATAAAAAAAGAATTGGAGCCCATTATTTTTTATCATATTTGTAGCTGACGTAAATATATGTCATGTAGGAAAAAGGGCTGAGAATCTTCAACATTGGTTTATTTCTATTGACAACATGGATCCATTATCAGTCCAATACAACTTTGCCTCTTTAGTTTTATCAGCCTTTTACACGTAATATAACAGTTTTTATTAAAAGCAAATTGCCAATACCCATCTGTGATTCCATCAGCTCCCACACTGGGCTCCTTTAAGACGAATGCAGATACAATTCCAGCAGGATTTTAGCTGATTTTTTTATGGTTTTGTTGATTGTCTGTTTTTCCGTCAATTATAGAACCAAATTTCCAAATCATCTCAGATTAAGCATTTGGACTTTACTTTAAAGACACCTGTTTTTCAAACATCCTTAAGATTTGAGCTAATCAAATTAAATGTGATCTTTGTGAAACAGAAATGTTTCACAAAGATCCATAACATTAATAGAAAAGACTTGACAAAGTCAATTATGTTAAATTAATTGTTTTTTATTATGATTTTGTCTTTTTTCTTTTTGGTAAAACACTATATTTGTCAGAGTAACAGTAATTTTTCCGACATGAGGACTGTACGACTGAATGGTGCTTATGATCCCAGAAAAGTAGACGTCACAGTCAAACCTAAAGTCGTCAGACAAATGTGACAGTAGATTTATGACGGTGGGACTGTGCGTACAAATAAGAGTTGGCGTGTTTTGTGGTTCGCTCCTGCTGTAATGTTTCCTCTCATACGATCTCTTCCCACAGTTTTGGAGGTAACAGAAGCGCTCCTCACATCAGCAACAATAGAGCAGCTGCTGGCCTGCTTCAATGGGAGCTGGCTGACAGCGACTCTCAATGAGTACGCGCCTTTTTTCTCTGTTTTTTGCAAACCCCTTCCACTCCGCATCCACTTATTAAACTGTGGTTAACGACAGACCTGTATACAAAACCAAAGATCGAACAGTCCGGTCGTAGGTGTCAATGAAACGTTTATTTCAAAGCTCATCTCAATGACAAAACATCAGAAAATGTCACAAAGCATGTTTTTTTTTTTCATTCACATGTCAATGAATTATATTCAACACATAGTGTTTACAGACTATTCTGTTGCACAGACCAAAATACTTTTAAGTCCAGCGTGCAACCCTCAGACAAAATAACCCTTGGGGTTTTACAAAAGTGTTGTCTACAACCCGCATCTTTGAAACCCCAAAGAGGATTGCATTTTTAAAAGGTCCATAGACTCAAGTTTCTATGAGATCTGTGCTCTGGCCCTTTGGCAGCGTGTGAGAAATACTGTTTTACGTCAATACTCAGCAACTTGCGTCCTCTGCTAACACTACTTTTATACAAGCAGAAAACGAAATAAATAACTGTTTGAGTGTCCATTAGGTCTACCAGGGTCTCCACATGGCCGCGCTGGCCGGCTGCGCGCCCTGCTGCGCGCGGCTGGGGGCCACCGCGCCCACGCTCCGGGGCTGGCTCTCCAGCCTGGAGCCGAAGCTGGACTTGAGGCTCTGCAGCCTCTGCTGGATCTGAGGCAGAGTCCTGGAGCTGTGCGCGCAGCAGTTCTGGCAGGTCGGCGTGGCGCCGGCCGACATGGACTGCTGGACGAAGTCGTGCACGCGCTGGCACGCGGCGTGGTCCAGGCTGGTTTTGGGAAGCAGGACGGAGACGCGCTGCAGGCAGGCTTTGTAGCCTTCTCTGTAACTGTCTGCGGAGTCTGGAAAAGGAGAGACGTGGTCAGTGACTGGGCTTACGCGTAAAGCACGTATGAGGGGGAAAAGGGGATTCATATTTGCAACGTTCAACGCAGAAATGAGGCTCACCTTTGACTGGGGAGGAAGGAAGATCCCTGAGGAAGCGGACGGTCATTTCCAGAATGTCAGCTTTCTCCAGCTTTGAGTAGCGCGTGTTGTCTTTTCCAACCAGAGGCAGAATCAGACTCTTCAAATGGTTGAGGCTGTCATTGATGCGAGCACGTCGTCTCTTCTCCAGCAAGGGTTTCAAAGTCTGGGGGAGAAAACAGGAAAAAGTGTTAAACAACTTGCCTTTTAGCAAGAGCAAAATCAGAAACGGCTTCCATTCTGTGCGCCGAGCAGTCGATCTCCTTGTCTTACCTTTCTGAGTTCGTTGGCTTGCTTTCTCTGGGCCACGGTGGAGCGCGCAGGGAGAGGCTGGTTGGCCTCGGTAGTGATTTTGGGACTCATGTCGTTTGCTGTTGTGCTTTTTTTTTGTGGTTTCAGAGGAGATACTTTCTCTCTGGGAGTCTAGGCTCGAGTGTGCAGAAGAGCCGGAGAGCCCGCTATTTATGTGGCCCCGTGGCGTCAGAGGGGAGGGAACACAAGCCACTGTGCTTTGGGGCGCGCGCAGGGGGGGCGATGCCCTTGGGAAGAGGAGTCCAGCTCTGGTCTGGACCATCTGGTCCCGCTGGACCCCCGCGTCTGTACGCCGGTATGCGGAGTTTCGTAAAAGATGCTGAACCTATACTCGTGTTTAAAATTGAAATCTTAAACTTTCATGAGAGATGCTCGTCCGAGCATCTCACAATTTGATTTGCTTTAAAACTTCACACGACCAATGTTTCTGCTCTGGCACTTTTCCACAGTAAAGACTCGGACTTTTTCCACGTCCGTTTATTTCCATTATTATGCACCAATCATGGCATTGATATGCATTTCTGTTTAGTTTTACATAAAAATGTCCCTCAGGTTGATCCTAAAACAGTCAAACATCACCCAGTTAGTCAGCAGAAAGATTTAAGGCTGGAACTAGTGAGTGTTCATTTAGAAAGTTTTGCTTCTTTGTTTTTATTAAAGACAAACCCACAGCAGACATGAAGCTGGACAAATGGCCTCCATCCATCCCGCCATAACAACCCAAACACAACGCCACATGAATGGGTTGGAGGTGACTAGATTAATTCATTCCAAAAAAAAAAAAGTAAACCAGATACCCAAGCCACGCCATGTATGGATTGACATCTGCTTATTGACCCCCAGTGGCTTGTTTTCAATGTCAACAACATGGCGTTTACCTGGAATGGGGGCGGAGACTAGAAACCTGTAATATAAGTAAACTAGACGCGTTTTCCAGTATGAAACGACTAAAATATTGCATCTATTTATAGAGATTAGAGTTGCAAAAGAACATATAAAAAAGTTGGATTGAAAAAAACAAAATAATATGGCCAAAATGTCTAAACGCTTCTTTTAAACATTATACACGTATTTAAAGTACTAGAAATAAGACAGTCAACGTTATGACATAAATAGCTTTAGTTGTAACATTAGACAGTTTATAACATTCGACAGATTATGTCTAATGTTGCCCATTTGACTAAACGGGCCTTTACGTTTCCAGTGGGATTCACGCGTTTGGCACGCGCCAAAACCGACGTAACAGATGGGAACCCCCCCTCCTTTTCCCTCTCCAGTGTCTACACCTCCCAACCGCACCGCTGCGCCGCAGACCCCCACCATCAGCAGACCCCCACCATCAGCAGACCCCCACCATCAGCAGACCCCCACCACCAGCAGCTTCCCACCATCAGCATCCCACCACGAGCCTGCTCATTTCTTCAATCACAGCCAGAGGAGGGAAAATATTTTTAAATGGCATCTAAAAGCAAAGGCGTCATTGTGCTCTGTTACCAAAGGGAACTAATAAAACCAGACCGGGTAAATAATGGGGTTCTATGCAACAAGACATGGCAGGAAACGAAGGGAATTAGAAAATCTCATTTGAACTTAAAGATGTGATGTAAAACATACAGAGTCCAAGAAATTCTGTTGTGTAATTAAGATGGAGCAACACTTTTACGCACAAAGGGGGGGGGAGCAACATGAGGAGTCAAGTTAACTTGAAAACAGATATTCTGCATCATTTAGGTGAAGTTGATTTTATCCTTTGACTGAGAAACTGCTCGGCGTTCGCTGTAAGGAAGGGGAGGGGGGGGTGGGGGGGGGTCATTTTTCAAACCTTGCACATACAGCATGCAGGCTGCACGCGTCCTGCCCCACGGGGCCCCAAATAACTGCCACCAGGTCTTGTTTGAAACCTGCCCCTTCGAGATAAGACACCCCCCCCTTACAAAAAAAAGTCCTACAGCTTCGGTTGGGACCTTTTTGTCCTGTTTTTTAGCGTGGGTATCCATCTGTGCATGCTGAGGGTGCACGGTGCTTTGTTGAAGCACGGACAGAAAAGTGGAAAATCAGTTTTACGGTACATGCATTCCTTCCACAGACGGGAAAACCATTCGCTTGACTTTTTCATCTTTTACTAGCTCAACATCTAGGTAATTTATGTAATATCCCACATAAATAAAAAGAAACAATTCTAAAAAGGTTTATTATCTTTGGATTTGGCAGAAAAGATTAGTTTTGTATTAGTTTTTTTCAGCATTGCAAATGGTGATAAGAAACAAATGCATCTCTATTCTTAAATGTACGGTTTCTGTCCGTGAGTATTGGGAATAAAACAGTGGACGATGTCATTTGGGTGTATAAACGGCATGAGGCTGGCACGAGCCAGAGGCGCTCGGGCAGATGGAGCAGGTTCAGTGATGCGTGAAACCAAACGCGTCGATTCGCTACGTCTCGTCCGGAACGACGAGACGGAGCAGCGCAGTGGAGGCTTCCAGACTTTTTTGGGTTTTAGCTTTCAAATTGCGGAAGGCCCCCTGAAAAGGATGTTTGGCATCCCAAGCCAAAATCTACGCCACAATTATCCACACGGCCCCGGAGCATCTGTACGGGAGCTGTTGTTTGTGTCTGAGACTCCAGACGGCCTCTGTCTCCATAAGCTTCAGCTTTTTCTTTTTCTAAAGCTATGAAGAATAAGATACAGTTTTCTCTGTGCAACTTTGTTTTTGTTTGTTTTTTCCTTTCGTTGTTATTTCCTGCTTTTAGACCTGGAAGAAAAAATCGAGTCAAATCATTGTTTGAAATGATTGACATATAAAGGAACTGTCATCATTCACTCTAGGACTGCAGGAAACAGTATATCTCATGTGATTTTGCTTTTGTTGAGTTTTGATAGAAAATGTTTGTCCTGGAAACGTTGAAAGTTTATTTTGTAGCTCACACAATTATTTTTTTGTTAGATATTTATATGTGAAAAACATATCTCCTTATAATTTGCACCTCTAAAAGGAACCAGTCAACAAAAGCCCTCATACACAGAAACCAGGAAAGAAACATTCCGTCTATTTCCCCATAAGAGAGCAAATCATCTCCAAGTCAAAGACCAGTCTTTCAAAAGATGTGACTTGCTGTATAAGCACGGCAAGCAAAGCATGTGAACTACCAGAAGAATATAGCAAGGCTCAAAGATAAGGTCCACAATTCAAGTTTGTTTTCTACCCTTCAAGAATACAGGGAAGTTTATTCTTTCGAAGCAGCAAACTAGTTTGACCTCCTTTATCTGAGTGCTTAACAATCAAATGCCAAAAGATCTAAGAGCAGAAATGTGCTTCTCTAAATTTAAGGCACAGGGCTGAACGTAGGCATCCTGCTTGTGTAACTGTAACCATGCGTGACCTCAGTGTGTATGTAAAGCTGGCAATAGAACAGGCTATGATGCTTTTTTGTTATGTTTTCTTTCTGAATGTAAATGTCTGAAAGTAAATGATTAAGTTAGACGAACTAATGATGCTTCAGGAGGAAGATCTGCTCTCTGCGTGAGAAGGAGTCAGTAGACGTGTTTTTTGGCTCTGAATCCCCATTCTGCTGAGGTTCTATAGCTTAAATGCCCATAACCACGGTCATTTTATTGGGCTTAGCGGTTGAGATTTTGGGACGTTTGTGATCTACTGGAACTAGACTATAGTGGGATTATATGAAAAAACGTGAATATTGTTACATTTTATTTGAGTCTGGCAAAAAATATCAAACTAGCTTTACCACATGAAGATCACAAAAAAGACAGATTTGAGTGAATTCAAAGAAGTCCTGGGTTCTGATCCTGTCCACATGAATAAAATGGTAGACTCACAGATCCAATATGCTCTACTGGAGCTTCAGTGTTGTCTTTGCTCTAAAAGAGCTTAGCTTGATGTGAGAACTGTTTTAAAGTTGTTTTTTCGTCCCTTTGCAACACCTGATCTTTCCCTGTGTGGCCTCAGCTTTTGCTTTAACAAATGTAAGGAGACTGGAGTGGTACACTCACTTTTTCTTTCTTCTTCTGTTGGTGAGGCTGAGTGAGAGCATGTTTGTAGTTGAACTCATCTTTGGTTACAGGTTCTTGAATAGGGAGCTGACAGAGTGAAGCCTTAAACAGACCCTTTAAATCAGGAGTCTTTCGGCTGAGATGCAGAAATGTTTTTAAAAACAAAAAAAGGGAGTTTAGCTAAGTTTTAACTTAGGACTTAGAATGGACTTAAGATCATCATGAGCTGGAATAAGAATTTGAGATCATTTTGTCTGTATGGCTTTATCCATTTGAGCCCTTAACACGTAGTATCCTAAAATGACTCAAGAGAAACAGGGACAGATTTTGAGCTGAGGACACTCTGGATCTGCAAGAGGTGTGAAAATTGGAAAGTATTTCAGAGTTTGAATGTGAATATCCATCATTTACAGACTGATTCAGCAGGGAATTGTTAAAAAAATTCACAAAATTATTTTTTAATGATACTTTTTTGTAACACCTTACATTAGATGCAACAAAAAGAGAATGGATCTTCATATAGTTAGTCTATTTGCTTCTCAAATCAGGTCTGGGTCAGACCAAATTTAAAGATTGCATAAGAAATTAGGAGATTCTTTAGAAATAAACAAAAAGAAATGAATATACAAATTACATGCATTGCAGTCAGTGACATCAAATCCTCCTGTGGGGATGCAGAAGATCCACCTCGAAAAAAAAGTCTCCCTGAGCTCCCCACGCTGAAAACCACGCTGTTTCCATAAAGCATCTGCCACACCAGGGACTAAATTCAAACTTTTTTTTTTTATTGTGTCTGATGCATGAGCTTCATTTGACGTCACTGGACCTCTCTGCTTCAGCGTCCCATCAAGTCACGTGTTGGGAGAAGGTAACAAAAGATGGATATACTTAGAACCTCAACAAGCGTAAAATACCCTAAAACAAACAGGGTGATGCAGAAAATTGGTCAAATTATATTTTTCTGAGCCCCAAAAAAGCCTCATATAACTTAATGGTTATATATAACTTAACAAATTATGAAAGAAGCCTCACACCGTCTAAATCATTCATTCCATTTATTTATATCAAATATTCCTCAGAAAGACATTTCTTG